TTCATTAAATATTAAATAAGGTTAACACAAATCTATATATTTCTTCCGATTTTAACCCTAAACTCGTTAAAATCTGAGTTTATAGTTGGCTCAATAATGGAAACATGATTTTGTGTATTTATGGCATATAATGCAAAAGGTATGATATTGCAATTAAAAAAAAAAAAAAAACAAAACATTAAACGTTGCATTGTATACAAAATGGCGGCTGAAACATTTTTCATTGTATGATTACGTTTTTTATGAACACTCTTTCAGACTCCTTTTGTTATCCATACAAAAGAAAATACCGCCAAAATTATGATTAACTAAATGATTACACAGGAAAAATTACAATCAGTGTACACAATTTAATATTTTGGCCGTTATATTAAATCATATTCATTTTTAATCTCTGTCTTAACATCGGAGATAAAAAGAGATGTCTATAAACACGTTCCTACTTGATGACCGGTTATTGTTAATGACAAGTCTGATACAGTTTTTTCACTAGTATTAATATAAAAAATTAAAAAATCAAGCTATAATTACTTTGATTACAAGTACATAATTTGATTGTACACTGGGCTTCGCATCAGTTTACTACAATGTGTCAAATTTCTGCAATAGATTTTGACTTCTACACCTAATATAATTAAGGTTTACCATCGAGTGAGGAAATTTGACAGTTTTGAATACATAGTCAGAAGTTCTGTTGGCTGTATAATGAAATGTGAACCTATGACGTTTGATATAAAATACTATTACATATTATGCTTTTCTCTCTCGGCTAGTTAGTCAGCGCGTTGTGTACTAATGTAGGTGTTTGCGTATTTATTACCGATAAATATTTAAATAAAATTAAATATTCAAATATGAATACTAAACCATATAAAAAACTTCGTGTACTGAAAACAAATTTTTCCTGTATATCCTATTTATTACATATCTCTCACTCACTACTTGTAAATCGTGCGCTTTACATACACATACATTTACTATGTAACAACTACACGTTTAAAATTATTAGGAATATTTTCTTTTCCCTTCACACAAGCACCGATATGTCAAGATGGACTAATTCAATTAACTATATATGTACATGTACACTTAATTATACATATATAATTATATCTTTAGAATATCATTTGTTTACTTCGCTAAGGACAGATGGCAATCATTTTTATATAAGGTACATATATCTTTATATTAAATTTCACGCCGACAATTTATCAAAACATGTATTTGAAAATTGTAAAACATTTTTTTTAATTCCATTGCATACACGTTAAGTTAAATATCGGCAAATTAATAATAGTTACAAATATAGAATTGACATGAAACAAATTAGGGTTACTCATATATCTAGTTAGAAACTTATTGTCGTTATGAAAATTATTTTCTAATTTACAAATGAGAGAAGAGAATTAATGGATCGAGTTGAACAGACGTTATAACGTTAACATGTTATTACTCTAAGAATTAAGCGATTCTTTTATATTCACAAACAAATCGTGAGTTTTATTAGTAGAACGGCAAAGAAATCTAACCCACTATCCAAAGTATGACGTCATTTGGCGTTTACACCTTTTTCAATTAATAATCATTTTAAAAATCGAAAGTCATGGTAAAAACTATTATTCTATTTCACTTACATATATGATTATAAAATAATTTTATTTTTTAACATAAATATTAGTCGCCTTGTCACATTATATAGCCAATTCAACTCAATCATGAAATTTTTTATTAATACGTACGATATGTTCATTGCTGTAGACCATTAAAATTAATAATGGAAGATATTTTTAACAGTTTGTACATCATTTCCATATTAATTGCTGTATTTTGAATAAACGCAGCGAATATTGAAAAGAAATTATTTAATACATACACTCTAAAAACATAACCCCATTCCTGTTGCAGTCGGATAAACAGACAGTAGAAAACATACATACTAATTATTCACTATTTTTATGTGGAAGTGATTAATATTATGTTGGTATTTGTAATATTAATGATCCTTACTCAGTGGAAATAAATGTTAAAATAGTAAAACTACAACATAACCAGCTGTCTGTTTAATTAGTCTTATTATATATAAAAAAGATGTTGAAATTGTCAATAGAACAATACTCGATTCTAAGACTTATCTTCATTACAATGAAAAAATAAATTGGAAAATATTTAAATTATATATTAAACATAACAAGAAGCGAAAGAAAGATAAATCTTTTAATGCAATTAATATGGAATTGTTTTACATTGCGCATATAAAATTTTGAAAATGGCTCATAATAAAAATAAAATATTAAGAATATACCAGTACATCTAAAAATTGACAGTGTAAAATGTCAAATAGAAATAATATTTATATCCAAATGCGTACAATAAGCTCACAACACAAATTATTATCTTAAAATAAGGACAAGGTATTAATAAATCGTTATAGGTATACACCCGTGTATAATTCAAGGTGTAAATAAATTGTAGTACAACTACGTTAACGTACAATCAACAGCACCTCAAGTAACACAATACTGACAAAACCCGCCGACATCAAACCTAAATGGGTTAAACACAGAATTCAAAATTGCGGAATGCTGTATTTTTGGCTGACCTGACGTGCTGTCGTGTGTACAGTGACGGTAAAAAGGTTTTGTGACTTAAAAATAAATAAAATAATATCTATAAAAAATTCCATTAAAATCAAATCCATGGCACAGTTATTTAAAGAGACATCAGAATTCATGTTTGACATAATGTATGGTAATTTACATGTAATAAAGGTACGTACATACATATGTAAGCATTTGAAGTCCACATTATATATTATATTATATTATATTATTAAAACTTCAAAATGATCTTCAAAAAGCGTTATAATGTATTATGATATGGACAAATCAAACATACTTTTCAATATCTATAGATAACATCACCGTACCAATTTTTCAGGACACCAATATTAAAAAAAAAACTGAATTCCTTACTAATTCACTTGCCATCTCCTGATTCTGTTCATATTGCGTATAAAAGTAATACATTACTATATAAAAGAATAAATTATCGGAAACCATTCGAACACTACTGCCATCTACAGACATTGAAAACAATCACCCTGGCATTTCAAGTTAACTGAAGAAAAATATATTAACAAAATACGCGCTTCATTTCTCCCGTCGCTGTACCCATCAAAAGAACAAAAAAAAACAAAACACTACAGTGGGCGAATAAATGGCGAATATTACAACTACTTACCCTGGTACTGGGACGAATGCCCAATTTCATATCGTTTACAGCCTTCTTTCATATATTTTTATTGTCCGTACCTTCTTTTGCCCTCTTATTATTTAATTGACACACACATCTACAATTCTATTACGTTGTAAAACCTACATCTAGCACGACAAGCCGTCTATGACACGTACACTGACGAGCAATAATAAACAATTACGGTAGCCGCAATTACAGACGAGAATGTAAATGAATCTTTAATATGTTTATTTGAAAACTAATGAATTCCTTTTTATCAATACATACTTCTATTTACTTTGAAATATCTTAGAAAAATGTTTTTTTTTTTTAATAAAAAATGGAATTTTTTACTTTAAATCGTGCTTCTATTATTTTAGAACGTCAGTGTATTACGATAAGATAAAAATTTTTAGTGCATTCACAGTTTCGATGCAGAAATTATCGATAGATAAATCAAATAAGAAGTGGATTGTTCAAATTAATGGCAATACAGAAGGCAAAACTAACGTGAACCTTATGCACTCGCATTAAGGTTAATAATGTAATTATATAGTTTTACCAGCTGCAACCAAGTACTTAGTACTTCACGATCAGTCTTGTTATTTTTAAAATAATGTCGAATTACAGTATTAATATTAATTTTATTAATATTCTCACTAAATTTGAAGAGGAACAGGTTAATTTTAGAACTTAAATGTTGTTTTTTTAAACAGCAATCATCATTTCCGTTGAATATATAAGGGTGTGACCACATAGTTGCATTCTCTGCAACCATCGAATAAGCTTTCAAATCTGACGAATCAAAAGATAACTCGGCAAGATTGAGTCTGAATCAAATTAATAATTAATATATATCCATTGCTATCACATATAGCCAAATTAACTGTTTTCAACACTTTCTAATCAACTAGAAATTTGCCAGTGCGAACACTCATTTATTAAAGTTATGATAACATATTTTTAAGACTAGCTTTCGCGTATTTCATCTTAAGACAGCAGAATATTCTCTGTCGCTAGCGTTTTCTACTTCTATTTGAAATACGACTTTCGCTACTACACATAATTCGACATCAACTGAGATGTTATTCTTAGATAGAGACTTATGAGTAAATATTGGAAATGATGAACTTCATTTATACAGTAAGATAAATATTCATACCGTAAAAGTATAATCGATTCATCTCCGTTTTAGTGGCTTCAATAATATAGTACTTACACACAGCATACGATTCGAATCTGGGATCTATACTGGATATTGCTTGTATACACAATGTTTTACATTTACGTTTGTAACATATGCATTATCTTATTTGTTTTTGCAGAATATTTTATGAAATTCAACTATCAAAAATCCAACATATTGTGTTCTTAAAAATATGAGAAATAAATTGAAATACTCCATGATTACACTTACTTAAATTGGCGTATATGATCGGAATTGGCTTCAGAAAACTGAATTCTAATCTAACTGGAAAGTACTTCATAAATTTCAGATTATGATTTTTGGATTCGAATCGGATGCAATGTGTATACACCCTTATGGTGCAACCAGACAATACATTCTTTCAGAACATTTGTCATACAACACTACAAATATGTCTGCAACATATTACAATCGTACGGTGAATGTGTAACACCACAACAATTCTTCAAAGTCCAGTATTCTCAAAGTCTTCAGATACAACTGCAGCAAAACCGCTCAAAGCTCCGCCCGTTGTCTAATCGCCAACTTGCATTGAAAAATACACCTTACGCGTATATACTTACAGTGCTCCAATGTCTGGATAAACGTGCGGTATTCCTGTGCTGGTCTCTCTATATTGCAACGGGTCGGCTCTGAACTCCACCGCTTTCAACGCCATGTGACCGTAGATGTTGGCGAACCGGTCGACGCACGCGGACCGCTGCGTCATGTGCCGCGCGTCCGCCGACAACATCTCAGTGTTGGTGCATTCCGGACACTTGAATTTCTTACGGGGTGTCACCTTTTGATTTAACAGGAATTCCATTAGAGCTGAGGGTAAAGACGCAAGCGACAAAGACGAAGGCCCGGATTTAGGGAGGGAGGCAGTGTCAGGGTCGATACTTACCGTTAAAAATATATATAAATTTATTAAATGATAAGCTACAGTGAGAAGGACACGCTTGAAAATCAGTAATTGTAATAAAATATTTTTTTTGTAATAAAGTATATATCAAAATCAGCCCTCATGAAACGAACGTTAGTGGGGGGGTGAGTAAAGGAAAAGCGCTGTACGAGTTTCTGCCCCGGTTAATAAAAAACATATATCCGGGCCTGCAAAGGCAACAGAGCAAAAACTGTTTTTAATTCATCAGCAGTTTAGCCTATTTATATCCTCACTGCTGGGGCTCAGGCCTTAAGGGAAGCCTCTAGGGAGTAAGAAGAATGCGAATGCGAATACGTGCGTATTGGTGGGTATTAACAGATGCAGTCGGGACCAACGGCTCAACGTGCCTTACAAAGCACGGAGGAGTTTGATATAGTAAATTTTTCGTCACCCATCCTATGATCAGCCATTGCGAAACCGATAACTGCGCCATTTTGCGTTGATTTAAGACCTTCTTTTTAATTAATTACTCGCAAACCATTACGATCATTGCTAATATTCTAAGTAAAACCCTCGGCAAAATAACTTAAATATTTTTTCAACTTCTCCTATAAAAAAAGAATGTAATCTTCTCGTAAAGATTTGGAAAGAAATGTGAATTTGTTTTCTTTTTTCAACATATCCTCATTTCCATTCATAACTTATTAATACGTTATTTATTTCTACAAAATTAATTAAAAGTGAATTTCAGTAACTTCAATATCAAAACATTATAACTATCATTTATCATTAGCCTACTTTTGACAATCGGGATCGGGATAGAACCACGCAGGGTCATAAGTGGATTTTTCAGTGTCACTGCAAAAAGGTTTTAATCAAATGAAACCTTCTTCAAAAGGTAACAAAGGTTACATTTCATTGAAACTCTATTCTGTGACAGCGCGGAGTTTACGTCGAGTTCAAAGCTTCTTTTATTACAGGATTGCGTAGCTGATCAAATGATAAACATACTCTACGAAGCAGGGAGGAATAAGAAATAATAAATTGTCGGTCACCCATCTTCGGAACGATTTTAACATATGCCACTTTAACATCGCCATTTAACTCGAATTGGGCTACTAAATACTATCCAATAGAAATTAACAAGAAGAATGTGAATTAAAAGATAAACTGCAATGAAAAATATAAATGTTTAACCGATTAATAAGTTACTTTAAATAAATCAACTCAAAGATTAATTTCAAAATAGTGTGTGCGAATTTACATTACAATTTACAAAACACACATATTTCAACGTAGAACAAATAAAGATAACGTACATCCAAGTCACCGTTCCCACGGACAGACTGTACGATAACTTGCGATGTAAATGACACCTTATCAACAACCGCTTTTCTAAGAAATGAATAATAAAAAACAAATTTCCTAATAGGCCTAGACTCGTAACATCCTCGAGTTTCATAATTCAAATTGATTTGTACATTTATAGTTATTTTTTTATAGTTAATATCGCGTAACTAACTGAATTCATACGTCAAGCGAAATCTTACTACAAAATTTGACGCAGTAGGCGAGAGAAGTAATTACTTAAGAAACCCTCATAGCTTAAGGAAACATATTATTCAATTGCCGAGAATTTGAATAAAGTATGAACTGTTAATATCTAATAATAATAGTAATCTAAATATTAACAGTTCTTAATTCATTTAAATTCTTTTTTATTTGTTGAAAATATTTGCTTAAGTAATTACTTTGACTAGACTATAGACATATGTTTAATTAATTTGACTAGACATATGTTTAAGAATATCAATATTTTAAATATCATGTATCATATTAATGTTAACTGCTTAAGACCGGTTATATCTAGATCCATCCTCCGTAAAAATCCATAAGGAAGTCCTGAGCCCCTGCAGTGGGTACGTAAAAGGGCTGATGATGTATGGACAAGCTATGACAAGGGGGTGGTACAACTCACGAAATTCATGTGACATAATTGTTGGTGAAAACTAACAGTTACGTGTGTATAACCTAATGTGATGTTAAATGTACCTTGATTGGTGGTTTTCTAGTGACGTTGGCGACGAGGAAATTCATGGCGATATCTTCACAGTTGAAGTTATCGTCGACCCAGCGGCGGATCTCGGCGGGCATCTTGTGCGTGTAGTACCAGGACCAGATCTTGTGGTGGAACGCGGCACCAGTCAACACCTGCAATCGAGACATACGAAGTTACGATGAGTAGAGGAATACTTGTGCTGTATTATAAGCAGCTAGCTTTTGCCCGCGACTTCGTCCGCGTGGTAAAGTTACTTTGAGCAGCATTTCTAAGGAATATTGATGTACTGGTTCAAACTAATACATTTACATCCTCAATCATCTCTTTTTTTATCCCCATGAGGGGTTGAATTTATCAAAATCCTATTTAAGCGGACGTCTTCATCATAGTAGCTCCGATCTTTAATTTCAGTTTAATCAGTCTAAAATCTAAGAAGATTTATACAAACTTTCATCCCTACTTTAACATCTTAAGGGTGGAATTTATCAAAATAATTTCTTAGGGGATGCCTACGTCATAGTAGCTTTATGCATGCAAAGTCTCAGCCCGATCGATTTAAAATTGACAAAGTTTCATTCCCTATTTTATCCCCTTGGGGGTAGAATTGATCAAAATCCTTTCTTAGCGGATGCCTACGTCATAACATCTACCTGCATGCCAAATTTCAGCCCGATCCGTCCAGTGGTTTGAGCTGTGCGTTGATAGATCACTATGTACCTTTGAGTTATATATATTTAGATGAACCTTCCTCTTGAATCATAGTGTTTATTGATAGAAATCGCATTAAAATCCGTTGTATAATTTAAAATATCTCAGTATACAGACAACGAGAAGCGACTTTCATTTATACCATGTATATATAAAGAGAAGTTCCGGGCATTTGAAATGTGATGTTGGCGAAAGGTGAAAGTTTTAGTTCTATCCAGTATTGAAAACGTATGAAGAATTACTAAGATCCAAGACAAGACAGAAACTAGAAACCAAACTAGAAAAAGGTTAATGTTGAGATATTTGATGTCTTTGAAAGGAATATGATTGGATATGTAAATATTTCTTATCTTTATCTAATCAAGCTTCAACTGGTTTTCCCTACTAAGACATTGACAAATTTAATTTCTTCTTGCAAATTTCTTTAGTTGATAATCCTAGTGACGAGATATCGAGATGTGCGTACAAGATAAAAACTATCAGTAATTTTCCCACGAACGTGATAAGTAACAAATCTACATCTGTGGAATGTCTAACTAAAACAATGTATTTTATTTATAATGAAAAATGCTTAGAAACCCTTTGTCCTTGGCACTCTAAATCAAATTATCCATATACAATGCATTGTTGTTGGTCAAAACTTAATTTTGAAACCTGGGTGAAAGAAAGCTACAAAGGAATTCAATCATGATTATGTTTCAGGACTTTGTAGGTTAATAACTGAACAACTTTTACTATGGGATCAACAATTCACGAAAGTTATTAAAAATAATAAGTTGGAGATTTTTTTTTCGCATTTAATATGAAAATTCAAAACATTTTTAAATAAATTTTATTTTAGATTTAACTTAAGTATGAAGATGATACCATTACTAAAGACATTTTGGGTTTCTGATAAAAAAAACCGCAATAAGTGATATTGGCAGTTCTCGCGTGATGTTAACTTGACACTGCCTAAAGAATTCTGAAGAAACCGAAACAGGTGGAAATGTGAAGGGGTAAGGTCAGGTTTATAAGGTGGATGCATTAACACCTCCCAGCCAAACTCTCTTAATTTTTGCCGAGTGGCAAAAGCTGTGTCCAGCTGGTCCAGCGTTATAATGATGAAAAACGACAACACCTTCTATTGATCGATTCTGGCCGCTTTGTCAAATGCACCAAAACTGTTTTATGGTCAACGCCCAGTTTTTCAGCTACGACTTAACTATTGATATGCTGATCTTGCTCCACTTCTTCATAAATGTTGGTGGGATCTAACAAGGGCGACGTGCATCTTTGACATCTAATTTACGAACGTTTAAACCAAATTTGTGCTACTCTCACAGAAACTACCCTAGGTCCATAAACGTCCTGCGTTGCGTTTTTACTTTTTTTTCACTCATTTTGGCAGTAAGAAAAACAAATGAAAATCATGCATTTTTTTTAATTCAACTTCAATGTTATTTTTTTTTAAACTCTAACTTTTTAATGATACCGAAATCAGGTAGATACAAATGGTACAGCCACAAAGATTTTATTACAGATTCATACATATTACATGCGAAAAACTTTTCCCCCGACCTTATATTACACCATATATAGTAGGAAATCTCATTTATGCGGCTGGGTACTGTATAATTGTGTACTATTATGTCGTAGTTCGTTTGTAGATTTAGGCCAATCGTGATTTACAATTTTATAGTACCTACGCAACCGTTTCATTATTTCACCATTAGTTGTTACTACGCGCTTATAATTATAGAAAATCTGAACGCATTCGATATAACTGATAACTTTAAAGAAAGTAAAACAATGGTAGCAATTCTGACGCAAACAAGAGTAAATTTTCAATCATGTCAATTCTAAAATCAAATAGATTTTTTTTCGAAAATTAATGGTTCTATCATTAGTTATTTATTTATCGATATAAGTGTATGAAAGTGTCTATGAAAATGGGTCATCGGTATGGATTTATTTTATCGTATTTTTTATTACAGTGGATTTCAATTATTGTTTAAAGCCCACAGCTTGGCAAACGCCGACGTTGTTTAAACCTCTTCGGGTACAAAAATATAAAATGTGTAAGCATTCAGGCCCATAAAAGTGATGCTAGTTAACTTCGTCGCTCATGTTCACGTTTGGGACGTCCGTTAATCACGTGAGGTTCGAAGGGGGAGGGAGGTTCATGTCAAAAAATCACGAAATATCACAAGGGAGGGGGGGGGGGGGTTTAGTTATATATCTTGTGTATTTATATTTTCGTCAACGCGCTATAATTAAACCGAATAGTGGCATAAAAAATTTAAGATTTATTGTAGATATTAAAAAATACATCACGTGATTAATGGAGGCCCCCTTTCCGTAACTTTGTCGAACAAATTAATATAGGCATAGTTACATGTTAAATTCAATTAAATTCACTTATCAATGCTATTATAATGAACATAATAATACACCTAATCTAGAAATGTTTTACGTAAATTGTTTTTAGCGATAAAGCAGCCGATTGTACTATCGATTTTGATATAAATTTTTATGACTTTTACTTTATAGTATACTAGCAATCCGCCAGCGGCTTTGCTCGCGTGCTAAATCACTTTAAAAGATCCCAGCGCACAGAAACCGGGAAGCTTTGTTTTATATTTATAGCCCATACTAATGATATACTTTATATAACGATAAAGAGGAAAGATCTTTCACCTACGGAAAGCTTCAAGATATAATTTACGCAAGCGAAGACACGGGAAAATAACTAGTATTTTATACTTTCATTTATCGTTTGATTGATTGGGAAAATAACTAGGAATTGAAAAGAAATCGGAAGACTATCAACAACATATTTGCTACAAAGTAAGAGTAATATCTCTTAGGTATTATTAGATTGAGGAATACAGACGCGGGAAGAAATTTTTCAGGTAGTATAAAATACATCAAATAGATAATTGAAAGATACTTTATTTTGGTAATCCAGAAAAGCAACCTACATTTGTGTATATAACTACATTGACTAGGTACAACGTGGGCGAAATAACGCACAGAGACTTTAATGCCTCGTTTACATTGAGATAGTGTTTTAGCGAGTGACGAGTGTCTCGCGTGACCATTTACACTACAACCAGTCAAATGGCATTGCTCGTTCGAAATGGAGAGACAAAGACCTGTAATACGTCTACATCTTTGAAGAAATATTAATATAATTTTGCAGCAAATGAGTAAGTATTAAAAAAAGAATTAGTTCCCGAAATCAAACTAGATGTCGCTACGGTACGTTTTTGATTTCTCCATGACAACTCTTCCGGTGTTCTTTCATGTTTAAAAGTAAATTAGTTTTCAAAACTCAATAAACAACTCATATTCTATTTTTACTTTTTTTTATTTATATTGATATCTAAGTTTCGAACTTTTCAAATTTCGGTTTTTTAATATGTTAGTTAAAAGGAACGGATATGACTGGGTTTGGTCCATTCGTTTCCTGCAAAAATCAACTTTTCGCCATCTAGTGGAGGTGCTTTTTTAGTGCTTTCGTTTTATTTAAATACTTCCTCATTGACGGAAGATATTTTAAATCGCTGATCTAAACTAAAAATAATTCGGGGACAATACATTTCATGAGAATAATATTAACTATTTATTCTTTAACACGCAGCGTAGATCATTTATGAATTATTCTATCTGTGGAGACTATCTACTAGAGCAGTGGCAAATAATTCGTTGCACTTGCCCAAAAAATAGAGTAATTCTGTAATCATTCACTGTCCGGCAACTTGGCGGAATAGTTGACGGGCCAATGTCCACGTGGTTGACACAACTATACTTGCTCACTGTCCTGTCTAACCAATGTCCTAATGTAAAGCGAGCATACGATGAAGTCGTTGATCGCTGAGTAATAATGACAATAGCATTAATATCGCAATAGTAATTAAGATAACTAAAAACCGTTAAGACATAATCATAACAATATTCTTTATTTTCCTCCAAGATACACAATAAATATTATATTTTTCAATGCAGTTGCTCATAAAGCGCTATTTTTTTAATCCATTGTAAACACCGAAAGTGAGTCTTTAAACACGTGTTAAATAAAAATGTACTGAAATCCTTTACTGCACACGTGCTTAAAAGTATTTTTTTAATTTTTTTTTTTGCCGAGCTCCAACGAAATTTAAAAAAGAATGATGAAAATATGTCAAACTTTAGAGGCAAAAGTATTTCAAGGAGCCTAGAACGAATATTTTCAAATAAAAATGTTTAATTTTAACGAATAATTTTTACCTTTAATACATACTTAGTTTTAATAACCTATATATTTGTTTTATTTCCTCGCAAAAAGTATTGAAAAATGTAAGAAACTTGAGCGTAAAAGGTTTTTCGAATTCGTGCCAATGAAAACCCTCGCTACGCTCATGTTTTCAATTTGGCCCTTATTCGTAAAACCTTACTTTCCGCACTCGTATCTTAAATAACTATAAATCGACTACACCAAAATCAATGGCAGTTTTACAAATCTTTAATATGTTACGCTATAATGTAACTGGTCTAATCACGCGGAGACTACGAATTATAACTTGCTTGTCTTAGATATAAGTGTCAATTTTTATTATTTTATTGCAATGCACATATTTCATTTCAGACTTGGCAGTTTGATGTCATCGAGCAATAAACCAGTAACGTAATAATCTTAATAGGACGTTTCACTGAATCTATTTGAACTGTGGAATGCGTCCACGCTTACAATTTACCCTAATTCAATTGAATCAAGGACAATATGTTCGGATATAAGGCGAACTACTTGCATTTGTTCTGATTTCATGAACAATAACTGTTAAACTAGCATAGTTAAAAAATATTAAAGTAAATATGTAATAAATAAATACAACTTATAAATATTTTTTGGCCTATACGTGTAATTTTAAAATCTACCACAATTCTTTTCAATATGATCTATGGAATTGTGTAGTTTTTAAAGTGATAATCGCTTTTGACACAAATGATATAAATGACATAGACAATTAATTGGTTTGACATTTCCTTTCATGGATATTTGTAACTATTTATTTACTTTAACTTCTTTGCACAAATAAAGTGTACACACGGCGGACTTGATGCCAGTAGGCATTCTCTACCAGTCAACCAGTGAGTTAAGACATAGAGAATTTAATAAGGTGGTGCTACACAAAAAAATAATTAAAGTGTCTAAACAATATATATTATTTAAAAAATGGAAATAAATAAACAACATAAATAAATATATATAAATAAGTCAGATTAATTACAAGCGGTAGGAGAATTCAAAAGCTTTTCGCGTAACAATCTTTTGAAACATAATTTATTTGGAGCAGCTTGAATATGGGGAGGGAGTGGGTTCCAAAGTCAAAACTATCACTTTGCTTAGACAATTCCGATTAACGTCAAATAAAAGTTATCGTTCATTCAATATCTTAAAAAAAAAGTCGCGATGGCAATTGCTATCAAAGTGATTGTGGTGATAAACTTTAAAATTAGACAATTAGGCCATTGTTTTTAATAAAATATATTAGTAGCAAAATAGATTTATAAATATATTTCGTTATTTTTGTTATATATTTTATCAAGCCATTTATTACAAATTAAACTTTGATTAAAGTTCAAATGAATTAACAAAAAAATAAATCAATAAAACATTCTTACATATCTTTATAATAAACTTTATGTAAAAAAGTAAACCTACTTAAATTTCACATTTACACAAGCAAAAAAAAGAAACGTTTTACAAAACAAGAGAAATATGTCATGAGGTCGTGTAGTAGAAATCTCAGAAACGAGGTTTGTTGTCGGGATAGAAAAAAATTGCTACGTCGAACTTCCTAAATAGTATTTACGTCTAGACGGCTATCTGTTTCAATTCACCGGTCGCTTTATTAGGTCGAAAATGTAGCACAGAAAATTATTAAAAAAAAAAACAACTAGGAACTAGAGAATGAAGAATTATGAGAAGCAATTTCTAATACGACATCTAATAAACTTGAAATTTCAAGTTCATTTAAACACTAAAGTTGAACAAAATAATTATCTTACCATAGATATCTGGTTAGTCCACTCGCTGTGGTACCGCCACGAGTTGGTGGTGTTGTCCCATACATGAAGCCTGGACGGAAACCCCACTATCCTATCGGGGAACTCGCGCCACACGTCGAAACTGGAATAGTAATTTTAATGGTTATTTAATCATTTCTGCAAGCAACAGGAACGCTTATCAGACCATAAAACACAGCATTAGCTTTATACGTGAGTTGTACCAGTTTCTACGTACAGTTAACAACACGCCATGTCATAAACAAAACTGAAAAAATTCTCCACTTGATTTGGAACCATAATGCATTAACATGTAAAGAAAATTTAACATATTATGGTAACTTTAGGTGCTGCTGTATGTTCATAGATTATGATATATTACAAATTTGATTTTTATTTTGAAAGAAGCACCAATTATTTATCAATTCCCTAACATAATTTGAATACATTAATGAAAACAAAATATCAATGGAAAACCTCCTAAATATTATATTAATAACACTTTACTAACAGTAAAACAGTATAACCTTACAGACCATTAAGGCTCACAGAGTACAAGTATAGGACCTAAAACGCATACTTGAGAAACTCTCGCAATTACAAAACAGAACGTACTGTGCCTCTCGTGAGTGACTGCAACTCTTGAAGTATGCAGGAGACTCGTTTTATCACAGACAAAAGCTAATTACAAACATTTAACAAAAAATAAGAGTTCAAAAAGCATTTTTATGACATACTTTGCTTTGATTTGCTTTGAATACTTTGAAATGTATTTTTATAGCAAATAACAAATTTAATGTTTTAGATTTTATTTTTCCGTTATTTAATGACATTTTTAAAATATGGTTTCTATTGTATTTGAAAAATACTTTCCTAAAAACATTTCCAAACTAAACGATAATTGGATTTTCTCGAAACTAACTAAACAAACACTATGTTTGTACGTTGAAGTGTCAACGTTGTGTCACATCGCAAAGTTGAAACGGCTCGAACAACAGTCCATCCGTCTAAATTGGTTCCGCAGCATAACTTGTGACACATGATTAAATATAGCATGAAACAAACAGTGAAATCATAACGTGCGTGACAAAATCACACAAAATGCATTACTTTATTTATCATTAGTTTTGTACTATTAATCAAATCAAAACATTTATTTGCTCAAATATTGTATCAGTGCAGTTGTTACATAGGTTTCATGCTCAACAATATTTTTGCCTTATATAGTAGGCGTGCAAATATTATATGTCTAATGCCACACTAATCATAAAAAGAAAAAATCACATAATTTAAGTTTGATTACAATGTCCGTCATATTATTCAAATACAATATAAAATTCTACAATGTCATATACAATCAACATACACATTCACACCATTCATTCACACCAGCCCTTTTACGTCCCCACTGTAGGGGCTCAGGCCTTCCTTACGGATGGTTAAGGAGGATGGGCCATGACCCTCCACGCTGGCCCAATGCGGATTGGAGGGTATTAACGACTGCAAATGCAGCCGGGACCAACGGCTTAACGTGCCTTCCGAAGCACGGAGTAGCTCGAGATTATAATTTTTTGGTCACCCATCCCGTGTCCGACCCTTGCGAAAGTTGCTTAACAACTACGATCGCGGGCCGCGGCGCTTATCCACTACGCCACTTGTCAATATAAATCAAAGAACACCAGAATAGGTCACTTACATAATCAAAATTACAAAGTTTAATGTCAGTTTTATAAGATAAAAAGAAACAAACAATCATAAAATGTCAGATGATATTAATATTTTTTTTATTGGAGTTATTTGTCATTCAAGTATTCATTAATCGAATAGTATCCTCGTTCTTCAAGCATAATGGCATAATGAGTTTTTAAGTATATTTTTTTCAGTAGAAGTTTCATAATATTTTGTGGCAGCTTATTATATACTTTAATAGCCATACAGTACCAATAATGATTATTATGCATTTAATTTTACCGACATAATTCAGGTTATATTTTTAGTCAGGTCGGCGTAAATAAATACGTACCTATTTATTAGCTAAGCAAACCGGTAAAACTACTTTCAGAGACTATTATATTTGATCAATTACACATTAATTCTATTCTGATAAATATTTTAATGAGGAATGCTTTTTTTTTTGCTTGAATATTGATGAAAATACGCATAGTAGTAGCGAAAAATATCTAGTATTTGAAAATTCGTCAGTCCTCTTGGGTTTCGGGTGGCTCAGTGATTATACCAGTCTCCCGGATTGCAATAGGTCGTGGGTTCGAGATTTTTCATTAAAAATCTCGGTCTTTTAAGTTTGGTTATTTCAACATTATACAAGTTCAATATGCTCTATTCATTATTAATTTTATTTCAGTCTCACAAATAACTATTTGCGCAATTCCCGCTTTCCTGTGAATTCCTGTTATGTCTTTAATTGTGTATATTATGAGTGAATGCTAAACCAAATACAAAATTATTTGGAGCGAGACTGAAATTTTAGACGCATCACGCCTAAAACATATCATAATCCTGTAAAATATGGGTGTAATAAAGTATATCCTGCCTCGATACACAATCCCAGTTCCATCCGTGGAACAATGTAATGTAATGGACGGCAGTGGCCCAGATTGTGTCCTACCGAGGTTGCAGCTTAACGCCAATAAAACATTTTGCATTGTCCTAGAATAAACATTAACATGCCATTCTCTTAACACTTCCAATATATTTTTATTACTTATTGTATTTGGTATTAAAAACCCATATTGACGCAATGTCAATATGGGTTTTCAATACTAGAACCAGAGTATTACGTATTCATGATCGAGAAGTGAAGTATTGAAAACTGGGTAACACGTGAGGAGAATTCGCATTTTCATCCTAAAAACCGAGAGGAGAAAACCTATTTCAACTTTAATACAAAATAGAGTGAAATAAAACAGTAAGACAAGCCAACGTAATAAGATTACTATTCTGCAAAAACATACAAAATCTCTTTAGATAAGACAAAAGAAAGCTTTAACGTATCCTTTCATCTTTCGTGACGCTACAAGGAAAATATTTTACAAAAGACTTACTTTTAGTGAAGAAAATTACAACAAATTCAATACTTGTGACCGACAGGTGGTTGAAGAAATATTAAAACGTTTATAATACTAGAGGCACTAGAGAAAAACATCCACTCGTCCTCCGAGTCAATCATGAATATCAGCATACGTTCCGAATAGGTAAGTATATTTTTCTGTATAAGGTAACAAGTCACCAGAGACTTGTCCTAGTAAAATTCTGTACTATATGATATCACTACACGGTATACATTAAAGTAGCACTCTCCGTGTCTGTTAGGCTTTTAACGCCTCCTAAACCACGCACAGTTTTCGAAGTGGTTTTCAATGTTAGATAGGAAATTTCTTGAGTAAGATTTATTACAGTGTCAGTTCGCTAGTGGATTATAATGCAAGCAGAGAAAATCAGGAATGTCAACTAATATTCAGTAATATATATTTAACTAAAAGAACTCTACTTCAAATAACAACGACAGCTTAAGACGACTTTTACCGACTTATTTTATACTAGCTCTCCGCCAGCGGGTTCGCTCGCGTGATCCTTAGGGAACTGTTTATTTGAATATCGATTTATAGGATATAATTACAATGACAAATTGAATAGTGAACAATGGTTTTTAGGATAACCTTTTAATTCCCTATAAATTCCCTATTCAACTCTCATTTTCATCCATTTATTTGTTGTTTTTCGGCATAAAATATATCATATATTCACGTCATACGACGCAGTTTCACGTAGGTGAAACGATTTTTAAAATCGATCCAATAGTTTCGGAGCCAATTCGTTGCGCAGAAACAATCAAATCTTTCTTCTTTATAATATCATTAGTATAGATGAGGAGTAACACCAGGATTTTTAACACAAGGTTTAAACTATTATCCGACCAAAAATTAACGTGTCTTAATTTGACGCTGCTTCTTCCGCCAATGTCAATTTGCTTTAGAGGGCCAATGGTTTTACCAAATACTAACTTTAGTTCTAGTTTTATAAGATGGAATAAGTCTCGGCACGACTGGATACCACGCCACACAATACGTTATCTGAATGTAGTGTCCAATTTCATATTTACAGTATCATTGCGAATATTAACTTCTAAAAAAAACTAATATTATCTGTGGATAGGTTTGAGTATTTAATGATAATTTATATATTGTTCTGAGTTTTTTTTTTATAATTTTGTAGGTAATCCATTATTTTTCATGATTAGTGAAAATTAAGACTTGTTTGTATTAATCCTACTAATATTATAAAGGCGAAAGTTTGTAGGTTTGGACGTTTGTTACTTCTTGACGCAAATACTACGGAATAGATTTTGATGAAATTTTGTATGTAGGCAATTATTAGTCTACTACTACTACTTTTTGTCCCATCAAAAGGTTCGCTAGGGACAGAAGTACCTCTAAGGGCGCCTCTTTTTGTGAACGCTGCCTAAAATGTAAGAGGTATACGAATGATTTCTGAAGACAAGTTGGAGAGCTTAAAATTATCTATAAAAAAGTCCACCATGGCATATATCTATGTGCTAAGATTTTGTCACAAAAAAGCTTTGTATAAGTATAATTAAATTTTAAGTCCGTCCTTAAACGTTTATTTGAGTAAGTGATATTAAGTCCATATCAAAATATATATGCTTATTGTCAAATAAATTTAGTATACATAAAAATTGTCTTTCAAACCATATAGATAAATTAGATAAGTTGTTCAGATTTTACTACGATGTTATTGAGAAAAGAAAGAAAGATTTTATAACCACTATTATGTGTGAACCTATTAGTATTTATTAGCATCTTTTAAATATATCCGATAATATTTAAATTTATAAAGACTGTAATATCGATATTATTGTTTTAATAATAAAAATAAAAAACTAATCTTAAGACAGCGTTTAGTAACAAGAAACACCTATTTAAGGCGAGATTGGCAGTCTACATAGGTACCCGAGAAAATTATCCGGAGTAGTGTAGGGATTATGTAGTGTAGGAGATTGAATAAGTGCTGGGAATCATAAATTAAAAGAAACGCCGGCTAGGTCTACCACGTAACAACATTGGCTTCGATTTGGTTGACATTGAATTGTACTCAATGTTCAATATTTATTTCATTACATTCTTATACATGCTTCTACCTTTCTTTAAAACCAATAATTAGTATTTGTATCAATTTAAAAAGAAACGAATTCAAAAGAATCGAGTAATGATTCTTATAAATTATTTATACGGGCGTAGAGTTGACGGTTAAGTTTTTACACGCCTGACTTCGAACGAAGTTTAATTTGTTTTAAAAATAAGATTTTACGATTTTGAGGACTAGCTCCCACGTGACAACTACCACATCAAGTTAATTTAGGTGATTGTAGTTTTTGCAACTACTGATCTAATTCCCCACATATTTGAATTAAATAAATTATCAAAGTAACTAAACATTAAATATTGATAACAATCTCATTTTAATGAATCTCATAGCCTCTTTAGGTTTATCACGAATCGTGTTAATTATAAGGTGCATATACTGTGAAATGGAAGTAGTGCGAACTAGTGATGTAGGTAGGTAGTTAATTACGTATCGCCCGCAAAAGTTCGGTAAACTGCCCGGTCCCATTCCCAATAGCTGTACGGTAAAGTTATTGTTTTCTCGGAACGGTCCGACGTCTGGATCACGGGACTTAATTTCCGATAGGGGTTCGGGATTTCAACGTCCAAGTGGATTACACCCGGAAATGCCCTCGAATACTTTATTGTTTATCCGCACAATACGTACGGTATACCTATTATAAATATGGTAGTAAGCAAAAATTTAAGTCTTACAGAAACCTTGTATCTGTATGTAATTAGTGATGCAACGATATATCGGAAAACCGATATACATATATCGATATACCAACATATCTCCACAAGGAAGACCTAAACCCCTGCAGTGAGCACGTAAAAAGGGCTCATGATGATTGCATTAAGACAGCATGTTATGTTTAATCGTCTCTATCGTCTAATTGTTAAAAAGTGATGTACACAATTTGAATACGAGAAATAAAAATAAATGAACGGTGCCTGTCACTAGACTGCAAAAAGTTAATAACTCATTCAAGGGTCTTTGTGTGCGCTTCTACAATAAGGTCCCAAGCAAAATACAACAATTAGATATCATGCAGTTTAAATCTACTATTAAAATAATACTTATTAAAAAAGCTTACTATAAGGTATCCGTTTATATAACAAATAAGAATGCTTGGACTTTAGATAATCCAGCAACTGGATAGGGCATTACTTCTTAACTCATTATATATAAAAAAATATCTTGCTTCCATTTAATTTAAATGATTATGTTATCATTATATGACCATAGTTTTTTTTCCCTCTTTATTTACAATGTATTGATCTGGTAATGACATGGTTTTTGTAAATGTCATTACTTCTATTAGAGCTGGTGAGTTTCTTGCTCGTTTTTCTTATCAGCCAAAAGACGTCCTGAACGAGCGGTAGGGAAAAAATGTTGGACGATTCAAAAGTACTTTTAAGAAGTTCATTGGAATAAAGATTATTTTCACTTTTGCCTTTTTGACTCTCAAATAACCTGTATTGGTTCGACCCAATTCCGCTCTACGTGAGCCTCGCAAAGGACCGTGAAATGTCATGTGAAATCTAAGATAATAATAAATGATAGAAAAATCCATCCAATAACACAATTCGTTTATCGTAATTCTCCTTTTATGATGTCATTACGAATCGGGCTGCATTACTCTGAACTGAACATATCCTTACAGTAATAATTTGATTTTTGTTTGTTTGATTAAACTCAATAACTACTGGAGGGATTTTAAAAATATTTAAAGCTATATTATAGACGAGTAGGTAATACAGGGTAAAATATATTTAAAAAAATGCTGATACATTCGTACTTTATCGAGCTCCGCGTTATTTATGTTTACTTTTTTTTATTTTGTAAATTAAAATAATATAGAGTATTATGGGTAATCAGACCCGATCCCTTTAAGCCGCCGAAAGTGAGCGAACGTTACGCAGTTTATTGTATTTCCATACATATTCATTTTTCCGTTCACATATAACCGACAATACGTTATTACGCTACGCGTAGACGCTGACATTCGGCGGCTGATTAATATAGCACGTCACTACGCTCCGCGGACGCTGATTGGCTACGTAGCTAAACGTCAGCGTACTGGATCCAGCTCGGCTGCTTAAAGTAACTGCTAATCTCTCTATAGCACGTCTGTAGTTAGTGTCTTTTTTATATACTTTGGTACGTATTAATGACAATAATTCGTCAAAAGATTTTACAGACATACGATAATGTTTTTTGAATTTATCCAAGAGCTTCGTGAATGGCCAATATCTTAACGAACATTATTTAGTTAGCACCCCAGTCAGCAGTCTAGAAACACGTACCGAGATATACTGCTTAAATTTCGAATCACTGAGCTCTTTTATGTGAAAAATAGCCGGCCGCTCAGCGTATGCATGCGGGTGAACGTATACAAGCCGACTGGTTTGTTCACACCATTGACGTATTGTAAGCTATAAGCGTATTGTCAGCATACTGTGAACGAAAAATGTCGTTTATTTTCACGTTTACACTGGGGCTCATAGTAAGCCTGCTCACATTCGGCGGCTTACAGTCAAAGGGGTCGTAGGGAAGGTCATTTACAATTATTTTCACCTCACATTATGTAGCAAAGATGAACCTAGTACGAGGTCCTACGGGACTAAAACATTTACTCCTAGAAGGTACTAATACTAAAATTACAATTTTAGCGTAAATTTACTCTGACGCTTGTTTATTGTTGTTTATCAATAGCACTGTTTAAGATTTTTAACTGAATAGTTTTTCAATAAAATCTATTTTATAGAGCTATATGAAAAGTGAAACAGTTATAAATAACTAAGTACGTTGAGCTAAAATACCATCATAGAGATTGAGAATGTTAATGGCCACTATATTTCTAAGAGAGACGTAGCAAATGGCGCTACGTTACTTAACATCAAGGTACATTTACAAAATATATTGATATAGCTGAGAGTTATTGTAAATGTAAAAACATACATTCAATAACTAAATATTTGAAATGTAATGATGATATTAATAGCCGCAATTTAATCAAAAGCAAAGGGATCTGACCCATACAGCCTAGTGCCAGGTTATATTTCTTGTGGTTATAATAAAACTTGGGCAGGTATTAAACGTTTTTTATGTATTGGAGATTTGGAGTCAAAGCAAAGAAATGTAAAAACCATATTGATATAAAAAGATTTGTGAAATTCGTACGAACTGTGTTATCCTATTATTTTAAGTCGTATTTTGGTGAGCAAAAAATATGATCTGTTAGCTAAAATAACTAGTTGGACAACAACTTATAAACAACATACATATATGTATTTCTAAATCAGTCTACTATTTATATTTTTCTGAACAGCAGTATTTCTTTTTTGTACAGCCGAATATATATAAAAGCTGCAAAGAGTGATTCATATTTAATGAAGTATGAGTAAAGAATCAGAGAGTAAGCAAGATGATTTATTTTATTATTTTCTATCTTTGGCCCTTAAGGCATGACTCGATGACATGCAATTTGATATTAAGGAGCGATATTGCACTAATCGCGCGCCCTGATTGAAAACTCGAAAATGTTTAGTCATAAAAATTACACAGATAATCGGAGATTAAGCAACGTTCCCAAAAGCCGGTGATTGGATGGGTGATCAAATTTATTTACACTTCTAACGGACACAAAAGGAAAGTACGGGACAATACAAGCTAGGACAGGAGAGAGAGAGGAGAAATTGGTCGGATTGAATCGCACTTTATTCAGTACATATGTATGTACTGTACCTACATAAGTAAGTTTAACATGCTAATATGTTGTTAGGTCTCTGGTAGCTCATGGGTTAGAGCAGTTGCCCGGATTGCGAAAGGTCGTGGGTTCGAGTTCCATCTCGGGGAACCTGGGGACGGTGGACTTTTTAAAGTATTTTTCATTAAGCATATTTCCCAGTATACCGTTTTGAATGCAAAATATATCAAATATAATAATTCAAAGTCAAAGTCAAGTCAAAGCCAAAATAATCTTTATTCAAATAGACTTCTTAAAAGTACTTTCCTAAAGTCATACTAACATTTTTAATCAGCACTGGTCAAGTTTCAATCTGTTTAAAGGCATTTATTTTATCTAATAATGCTTAATGCCATATTATGGTTAATAAAAAAAGTATACCAATGTCAAAACTCCTATTTAAGTATTGGGTAATATTAATATAAAGCTGTTATCGTATTTCGGTGATATGAAAAACATTATATATTATATAAGCATTAACGTAATATTATTTAGTGCACTTAGTTGTATTTAGTCATTTTCTAGAAACAAATGTTTTCTAATGGCCTATGGTTGTATTGATTTAATGCTTATCCTATATACACATTGAATAAAGAACTAGTAAAACTTTAGCATCGATTTGTTCTTAAAGTATTCTTTAATCAAGCTCAAGCTCCTTTATCTTCTTAATTTATGCTTTTATAAAACATTAGGCTATATTTTGATCAATATTAAGTTATTTATAGAGATACAAGTAATAAATAGATCGTAATTATTTTTTATGTGAAATTAAAATGTAAAATTATTTTATGTATTGTATTGTAATGGTGGCATTTTATACGCATCGATTGCGCCATGGACAAAAAACGTTGGGAAAAACAAAGAAAACAGGTGGATATAAAAGAAAACTGAAAAAAGAGTATACTAATTTAATTGAAACTTTTAAAAATCAAAATAAAAACGAAATAATCGTTTGATGATTATAAGCACTATAAGATACTTCTGAAGTGTTAAAATACGGCTGTACCTAAAATGGGAGTGTGTTATACGATGAATTACGAGCTCTTAGTTTTGTGTCTAACCATAATACGATTAACAGCTCTACTACACTATATTTGAATACCTAATGCTTTAATTTTACGAGTCGCCATTTGCTTTCTTTTTCCAATTCTTACAAAATATTTAAAGTCAACTGTGTCAGATGAAAAGGGGTAAATAGTCATTTATTTTGTGCACAGATGCCTATAAAAGCAATTATGTTGTTAAAACAATGCTAAAAAGCCTAAAATTCAACAAAAAGTTTTGCTACTAGGTTAAATTTTCTATTATTTTTATTATATTAAAGGAAGTTTGCGAAGGCGCGTGTATTTTACACCATAAACTTGTATATTTTACTCCACAAACTGATGTGTGCAGCTTATTTCATACATAACGAGCTGTTTAAATCAATATTAAAAAATACTTAAAAGATCAGCCAAGAGAACATGTCATGACACTTACACAAAACAATAACTTAAACCGATTATATATTTTTAAAATCTATTAAATATACTTTTTTACAAAGGAAATAAAACAGTAAGCATTTTTATAATTTTAAATTAACTTATTATAATTTTGATTTACGCATATCAATTGTAATATAGTCACAAAAAGTTCAATTAGCACTTTAAGGTGCTAATTGAACTTTTTGTGGCTATTAGAATGCTTTTACCCGACTTTATTAATGCTATTATACAAAAGTTGTAGTGCTATTGCACAGCTTTTATAAAGCTTAAAGTCGTACAAAGGGGGGGCCCAAATTTTACGTATAAGAGTCGTTTAAAAGAAATACGGTTGATATACGATTTTATTATAATGCTTAACGCTTGGATTCGTGCTATCATAAGTTTGATATAATGGTGTTTTGTGCTACTTGGGTTTGAATCGTTCAACTTTTTTTCCCCTACCGCTCGTTCAGGACGTCTTTTGGCTGATAAGAAGAATGAGCAAGAAACTCACCAGCTCTAATAGGAGTAATGACATTTACAAAAACCATGTCATTACCAGATCAATACATTATAAACAGAGAGAGAGAAAAAAAAAACTATGGTCTTATAATGATAACATAATAATTTAATGATAATGGAAGCGAAATAATGAGTTTAGAAGTAATCACCTATCCAGTTGCTGGATCATCTCAAGTCCAAGCGTTCTTATTTGTTATATAATCGGATACCTTATAATAAGCTTTTTTAATAAGTATTTTTTGAATAGTAGATTTAAACTGCATGATATCTAATTGTTGTATTTTGCTTAGGACCTTACTGTAGAAGCGCACACAAAGACCCTTGATTGAGTTATTAACTTTTTGCAGTCTAGTGACAGGCACCGTTAATTTATTTTTATTTCTTGTATTAAATTACGTACATCACTTTTTATAGAAAACAAACTAATATTTTTACGAACGTACATTAAGTTCTCGTATATGTATTGAGAAGCAACAGCCATAATGTCTATTTCCTTAAATTTCTCCCTTAAAGAGTCCCTAATCCTAAGATTATAAATTACAAAATACTTACAAAAATATGCACACTAATCAAATAAACTGCGTATGAAAATGTTATCTTTGCTGCTCACTTGTTTAATCTTGCAGATCAAATAATTATATTGAGGCTAGACTACATAATAAAATATGTTGCTTATTTATGTTTAAATTACAAAACATTATCATGATTGTTTATATTTATTTATAGGCTGCTTTTTTGCTTACCTAATATTTAAATGGCATACCAGTTAATTAATCTATTTTTAATTATCGAAGATTTTCAATTCCCACTCATTATTTGGAATCAATGTCCAATACCTAAATCGCAGATATTATAATACTATACTGGTACCTAAATGTATCTGATAAACTTGCCCTTAATATAAAGGCATGTTAATTAATGTGTCGAGTACAAATTAATGCCTATGCTGATTGATCGGCTTCAACATATCACGTACTTATTTTCAGTTTATATCACTAAAGCCTATTTGTTAAACTTTTATCTATGCTATGAATATATTCTATTAAATATTTTAATGACCATAAATACTTAGATACTGATAATTTGGAAATCGATATAATAATGATGTGAATAGTGTTATCGAAATCTCAATCATACGTAATTATAATGAACTATTAAATAAATATCGTTGTATGTATTAATTTGTCCTACAAAGCCTTGGTTTTAAGTTTTTTCGAGAGTATCTTAAGAAGAAAGATTAAAAAAATAAAGATTATAAAGTAATATTTCAAGGCGATAAATTTTGACGTTCAGATAATTCAGATGGTGGCTGCAGGAGGGCGATAAGAGCCCGTATAAGAGATCTCTTCCCGTTGAACTCGCTTTGTGGGGGTGAAAGATACCTAAATGTATATACAACCTGACATGAGGGGTGCATTCAGTGTTGCCAACTTAGATTTTAGAAAAAAAAAACTTAGATATAAAAATTCCTTTAAAAAAGAGATTACGTTTCTATATATATGCAGCCCAATGGTATAATCAACCGACCAATTGGGCTGCCAGTCCTTTAATTGAATGACCCCATTATCAGCCCAGTAGTTGAACGATTCTACAATACGGCTGAACAAAGGTCAGCCAATTAATCAACTGTCAACTCACAAAATATATAACGTAGTGGGTGATTTTATATATAACTCAAAAACTCTTTGTTACAATCTGTAATTGATAAAGACGCAGAACTGACGAAAAAGACAAAAACTGTTTTATTCGCGACTGGGTTTAATGGTTCTTATTATCTAATACAGAAAACTAATACACCCTCTACCACTCATAACGCATAACACCCATAACACAAGTGGCTTAAAATTCCATAATAAATTCTTAATACTAATACAATTATACGAAGACAAGATACCACGACTCAGAAAGCTGCGACTGCGATTGTTTTAGTATGTTTATTACAATATCGAAGTTTGGTGCTACATAGTTAATTATAACATAAAATAATATCCTCCGAAATTTCGAGGTTATTTTTTTTTCCAGATAACAAAACTAAATAATGTTTTTGCTGCTTTTAAATCAGCCATCTTGTTGAACGGTACAAACGAATTGAATGGCGCCATCTAATTAAATGGCGGCTAGCTATATATCTCAACCTATGCATCTCGGATTCGTTAACTTCAAATATATTTCATTCATTTATTATATATGTTCATTACAATGTTGTGTAAGAGTAAAATATTCGTATTTAAACAAAATACAATACCTAATTCTTATGTTAAGCATAACAAAATACTGATGGGACATGTTTAAAAAATTATTTGCTGATTGGAATATCTAATAAAAAGCTGAAAGCACAAAAAATACGCAGAGTTGTCAACACTGTGCGTACGTATACTTGTAAATTATACTTTTGTTCCAGACATTCTTTGTTAGCCCTAAGTAATATAGCAAAGTTGACGAATTGACGAAGAAAAAAAAATGCAATACGGCTGTAGAAAGTAAACGAAAATAATATTACAGATAATCACACTTTTATGCTTATCATATTTATAATATTGCTTAAACTAATTATGAATAAACAAATATTTTATGCTCGTTGTCACGTGACCGCAAACAGCGCGTGACGTCACGCTCTTCTTTCTCATATCAAAACTTATAGAATTTCGCCATCGACGCCATGACAGAAGTGGCGTCTTCGCGGATTTTTTTTTAATTAAATTCATTTTTAGATTTTATTATATGAATGATATTTTTTAAACATTTTTTTTAGATATATTGTCATCATTTATATAATGTATCTATAAAATATTTTTTTTTTAAAGTTGTCTACACTCCTATTGCCACCTACTTTTAGAGTAAATGAATTTTACTTTTTTATCTACTTCATAATTGAAAGATTATATATTCGATGGATAAGGGTATGTATGTTTTTTATGTATGTCAACCGATTCCTTCGAAAGCTTGTAGGCCTGAGGTAGCCCCATATTGTTTTATTAAAATCTCAATTATTTTCAATATAAAATAAACGGAATCATTCTGCCAAATAACAAAAACACATAGACCAAAAAAAAGAATCATCGTTTATTTTGCTTTCTTACGATTATTTCAATGCTACATTTTTTTATATTAACACTATATATACAAAATAATTTTTCACTACAATGAAATCACTACATACATATATAA